AGAGATGTGCCCAGAGCCAGAGGTTCTTCTTCCTCTTAGCTATTTCTTTGATGCTCTTAAAGGCTTTCCATGCTGCTCTCTTCCTCCTACACAACTCAGGTGCCAGGTTATTCATCATGTTGAGTTCTTGACCGAAGTACACATACCTGCTGCATTCGGAGATGTTCATTCTGTTGAGAGTGAATGAAACGTCAGGAATGAGTTTGTTCCTCATAAACATTATCTTCGTGAGATTCAGCTGCAGTCCGACCTTTCCACACTCACAGTCGAAGTCAGCCGGCATTTGTGCCGCTTGGCTAATGTTTGGTGTTACTAGAACGATGTCATCAGCGAAGTGGAGGTGGTGTAGTTGCTGACCATCTATCTTCACTCCCATTCTTTCCCATTCCAGTCGTCGCATGATGTTCTCGAGGATGGCACTGAAGAGTTTCGGTGAAATGGTATTACCCTGCCAAACTCCTTTCTTTTTATTTTATTTTATTTTTTATTAGTGAAACACCATGAGATACAGTTGTAGATTTACAAATTTTTGTGCTTGGGTTTCGTTTATACGATGATCAAATACCCATCCCTCCACCAGTGCCCATTTTCCACCACCATGGATAGTATCCCTCCCCCCATCCCCCCATCCCCCCCTGCCACTGTGGCAGGGCATTCCCCCCAGTTCTCTCTCTCCTTTTGGGTGTTGTGGTCTGCAAAAGAGGCATTGAGTGGCAGACATGTTTAGTCCATAGTCTACTTTTAGCCTGCATCTCCTCTCCTGGGAGTATCCTCCAAACACCCTTTATTTGGTGCTCCCTTCTCTATCTGAACTGCGCTTTCCCCTAGAATACCTGGCTGGCCTCTAAGCTATGGAGTAATCCTCCTGGTGTTGATCTCAGCTATTCTTGGGTATTAATCTCATATTTTGTTATTTTATATCCCCCAGATGAATGTAATCTTTCTATGTCTATCCCTCTCTTTCTTACTCATTTCGCTTAGCATGATACTTTCCATATTGTACCACTTGTATGTAAATTTCGTGACTTCATCTTTTCTAAGAGCTACATAGTACTCCATTGTGTAGATGTACCAAAGTTTCTTTAACCAGTCATCTGTTCTTGGGCACTCAGGTTTCTTCCAGTTTCTGGCTATTGTAAAGAGTGCTGCAATGAACAAACAAGTGCAGATGTCACTTCGACTATATATTTTTGCCTCTTTGGGATATATTCCCAGGAGTGGTATTGCTGGGTCAAATGGGAGCTCAATTTCTAATTTTTTGAGAATCGTCCGTATTGTTTTCCAAAAGGGCTGAACCAGTCGGCATTCCCACCAGCAGTGGAGGAGTATCCCTTTCTCGCCACATCTGTGCCAGCATCCGTTGCTTTTGTTCTTTTGAATGTGGGCCAGTCTCTGAGGTGTGAGATGGTATCTCATTGTGGTTTTGATCTGCATCTCCCTGATGATTAATGATGTAGAGCATTTTCTCATGTGCTTTTTTGCCATTTGGATTTCTTCTTTGAGAAAGTTTCTGTTCATTTCATTGCCCCATTTTTTTGATGGGGTTGGACATTTTCTTCTTGTGGAGTTCAACCAGTACTTTGTATATCCTTGATATCAACCCCTTGTCAGATGTGTATTCGGTGAATGTTCTTTCCCATTCTGTAGACTGTCTTTGTATTTTGGTCACTGTTTCTTTGGAGGTGCAGAAACTTCTTAGTTTAAGATAGTCCCATTTATCTATCTCTGTTTTCACTTGCTCGGCCAGTGGCGTGGCGTCTTTGAAAATACCATTAGCCTCAGTGTCATGGAGGATTTTGCCAACTTTGTCTTCAATGTACCTTATGGTTTCTGGTCTGATGTTGAGGTCTTTAATCCATTTTGATCTTACTTTTGTACATGGTGTTAGGCAGAGTTCTGAGCCCATTTTTTTGCATGTAGCCATCCAGTGATGCCAGCACAATTTGTTAAAGAGGCTTTCCTTACTCCACTTCACATTTCTTGCACCTTTATCAAAGATTAGATGATCATATGATTGAGGGGAGATGTCAGTGTATTCAACCCTGTTCCATTGGTCTGCAGTTCTGCCTTTGTTTCAGTACCATGCTGTTTTGATTATTACTGCTTTGTAGTAAAGTTTGAAGTTAGGGAATTTGATTCCTCCCATTTTCTTTTTCCCAAGAATTGCTTTAGCTATTTGTGGGGGCTTATTGTTCCATATAAATTTCAGGCCAAACTCCTTTCTTTATATTGATGATCACAGTAAATTACATATTCATAGTCCTGGAAAATGGCTTTCTATCTTCAGAGTAAGTTTTGATATTTTTGGTTATTAAAAATTAGTTTTGTAAGTATTATTTTAATCCTTTGGACAGGTATATTAGCTTCAAGGGAGGCTAATTTTACTGAGGATTGCCTATGCAGAGTTTAAATTCACAAGAATACTTAATAAGCTCATTCATTCATTCACTAACATTTATCATAGTTCTACTTTGTGTCATTCACTGTAGCCACAGAATATTATAAGATGTAAAAGATAAGAATGATTATCTCCCAAGGAGCTCATATTAGGGGTAAGAATTTCCTTAAGTAGATATTTGGGGGTGGGTGAATAATACTGTTCCAGTGTTTCTTTTTAAATTCCTTTTATTTTCTTTCTGTCTCATTCTGACTCACTTTCTCTCTGTTTTGGTGTGTTTGTGCCTCCCTGATAGTGCTCAGGTCTTACTTAAAGCTCTTTGCTCAGGGATCACTCCTTGAGATGTGCAGGGTAATCCAAGTCAACTGCATGCAGGGCAAACACAATGCCCACTGTACTACCACTCCAGCCTGCTGTTATTCTCTTGTGAGAATATATCAAAATTAGCTTTTTATATCTCAATTAGCTTTTTATTCTCTTTCACTCAGTTATTCTTTCATTTATTCACTTATTGAGCATATACTTAATTACTATTTATACCAGAGACAAGTGCTATTCCGAGTTCTAAGGATTCAGTGAACTAGACAGTATGTGTTCCAGGAAAGGGAGACTGAAAATAACTAATTTTACAAAGTTGAAACAGCATAATTAAAAACTGAAGGAAATAAATAGGAAAATTAAACAGACTAAGAGTCAGGGGAGAATTGTTGGCTGTCTTTGATTTTCAAATGTTGCTTAGTTTTGGCTACTTTTACTTCTAAACTAGTCTTTCTCACACCTTCTCTCTAGCTCTGTAGGGGCTGAGCTAAATGGAGTGATAATAAATGATATTTCTATGATGCTCATTTCTTAATAGAGGACAGGATTCGACACATCTGAAATTTTGCCTCCATTTTACATTTTATCCCAAAGCTTCAAAAATTTGATGAAGTAGGGCTGGAGCAATAGTACAGCAGGTAGGGTGTTTGCCCTGCACACACCCAACCTAGGTTCAATTCCCTAAGCTCTGCCAGGAGTAACCCCTGAGCATCGCTGGGTGTGACCCAAAAAGCAAAAAAAAAAATAGATCAAGAAAAAAAATTGGTGAAGCTTATATAACATGCTGCTAAAGTTGTACCTATACAAAATCACAATGATTTTTTAATGGATAATTCATTTTATTAATTTTTTTCTCTATTTTATAAAAGAAATTTTTATTGATTTGGATTCTGTGGTTTACAGTAATACTATTAATGGTTTCTCATGCATATAATTACAACTCCAAACCCATCACCAGTGTATCCACCTCCTTCTTCTAAGAATCCCAATCTCTCTCCCTCTCAGTTCTACCACCCCCAGTTCAGTTGTGTGGATTAGTTCTCCGTGGACCTTGATTACTATCTCACTTTGGCCCCTTGTTGCTATGAATACACCTTGCTGTGTATCTTTAAGTCCCACGTATTAGAGGGATCATTCTGTGTCTGCCTCTCTCCTTTTGACTGACTTAGAAGTCATCTGAATTATTCTATTAACAGTCTCTAAAACTTTGTGGCATTTCTTGCCAGTGTCAGCAGGACTTAGCAGACTTTTGTCTGTTTTGAACAAGATAAACATGGCCCCCTTTGACTGTTGGATACAAGGAACATTTCCAGAGCTTCGAAGGACAGTTCATTTTAAACTGTCTTATCATGTCTCTATTTTCTCAGTTCTTTGCTTCAAATTTAAACCTTGAGCACTTATGTAGATGTGCTTTAAGCATAAGGCACATAAGATGTGCCTTAAGCACAATTGTAGATGTGGATAATTTCCCTAAATTGTGGCTATGATATTAGTTCAAGGAACACAACTAGGGACTTTGCCGTCTTGTGAAGGATTTTTTTGTATGAATGCAGAGTTAGAATTAGGAGTCTAAAAGGAAGCACTGGCTTGTCCTTCACGCCCTACTGAGGTCACGAGTTGCCCCCTCCCACGAGTGAGTCTCCGGCACAGCCATGGCTCCAGAGGCACAGAAACCAATCTCGTAATTATCTGGCTCTTGGCAGAAATCCCTCCAGACTTAATAAATAAAATATCAGAAATCCAAAATTGTGCAGCCACTACTGCGGCTGCGCAACATCATATGGTCCTCATAACCAGTTATAGAAAACAAATTATTTCACTATGCCTTTTCAGCAGTTCTGATTGTTGGGTGGAAACTCTAAACAATAATGGTGCATCTTTTGTCCAAGTCATGAATGTTATCAAAGTAGATAGAGAGTTAAGTAGAAATCATATGCCTCACAGGCATTGGGAGGGGTGGGAGGGGAGTATATTGGGGTTCTTGGTGGTGAAAAATAAGTACTGGTGAAGAGAAAGGTGTTTGATCATTGTATGACCGAGACTTAAACCTGAAAGCTTTGTAACTCTTCCCACAGTGATTCAATAAATAAATTTAAAAAAAATAAATAAAAGGAAGCACTAACATTTTAACATTGTGTATATTATCTTGTCTAAGAGGTTTAGGAAATGTAACCCTCAATGGTGGTACACAAGTATATGGAATTTCAGCAAAATCCTGAAAATTAACAGATAAGAATGTAATGAGCCATTCAATAAAACTAACAAACTACCTGTGTTTTTAAAGGTTGCTTACAAGCAGAAGCATGATGCGGCCAAAGGATTTTCAGATTATGCACACATGAAGGAGCCGCCTGAACTAAAACATGCCATGGAGGTCATGAAACACCAGAGTAATGTAAGGAAGCCCTTTCGCATGGTTTTCTGGAAAATTGGGGTTAACTCACATCAAGGCAAATGGAGAGATCATTGAAATGTGATTATCATGATATGCCTATTCATAAAGGACTTCCCAATTCATTTTCATCTCTGCATCCAGACAGAAGAACATCTGAATTATTCTGTTCACAGTCATTAATACGTTGTGGAGTGCCTTTCCATCATCGTCAGGGTTTTGCAGGCTTTGTTAATTCTGCTTTGAACAAGATAAACATGGGCCCCTTTGACCTGTTGGATACAACGAGCATTTCCACAGCTTCCCTGACTCCCTCCTTTTTGGTCTAGAACTGCAGAAGAAATGGGAGTGAGGGCCTCTGGAATGTATGACGTAGGGCTCCATTTAGAAGTGTGGGTGAGCATATCCCCCCTTATTGATGCTTTGTGGATGCTTATGAGAACAGACAGTCAAACTGAAGCCCATAGGGATTCCGAGAACAAGAGCCCTCATAGTTGGCCAGAAACCAGAAGCTGAGAGGCAAGGAGTTTCTCCTGAAGAAAACAGGTGTCTTCTCTGGCGCAGCATCCAATCACTTTTGTGTTTTTCTCATTCAGCCTGCCCATCCTGGTGGCATATAACAGTTTCTTACTAAGCTCCCATGAACAATGTACTTGTCTCCCAGTCCTGGGTTTCTTCACTCTAGGTGGAATATAGAACCTGTTTGTTAGGTCCCTTCTGGGATAGAGTCAGTTATGATAATGCCTCTGTCCTAGATCCCAGAAAAGGACCAGAGGGATAGGACAATGGGTAAAATTCTCACCTTGTATGCTGCGGATTCGGGTTGGATCCCCGAAACCCCATATGGTTGCTCTGCCTGCCCAGAGTGATCCCTGAGTGCAGAACCAGGCATAAGCCTTGACCACTGCCAGGTATGGCCCAACCCCCACACCCTGCTCAGTCCCCCTGTCCCCCCACCGAATGAAAAAAGGAAAGAAAAAGTACCAGAAGCAACTTTGTCTTTTCACACACAGTTTACTTACTCACCCCTTAGTTCTCTTGAGAAAGGGGAATTTCTTTCTTTGCACCCCCAGGGTCCCAGCTGCAAGAGAGCAATGGTGAATGGTTATTAAATTGCAGTAGGTTGATGCTTATGTAAAAATACAGTGAGATTTTACATTTTAATCCAAATCTACAGACAGTTGCTAATACCAAGGCACTTTTCTGAAACGATGTAAAATTGATATGAAGAGTCTGCCGTGTCTGCAATTACCAGCAAGGTCATTTAAAGGGGATATTTTGGAAGAACTGTTTGCCTACAGAATGACTGTAATAATCAGAATAACTATCACTTAGCAAGCACAGGAGATACTGTGCCAAGACTTTGTTCACTTCCGATTCCCACAAAATCCCCATCCTGATTCCTACTTTGTAGATGCGGAAAAAGAAAATAAGAAAGTATCAAATTCCCAAGCCCTCTTTTGTTACACTTTGCAGCTTTCCTCCTAAAGGTTACACGGGCTCTTTGTGGAGATTTTAAATAAAATCCTTAAAAATGAGGTTCAAAATAGGTTATCATCAGAATTCAGAGAAATGAATTCAGAGCCCTGCAAGAAAGAACCACGAAGCACTCCCCAGGTTTTGTTGCTGAAAAACTTTGCATTCCCATGAAGCTGATGGGAGAGTAGTGGGCTGGTATCGTAGGACAGACCTCTGGAGACTGCCTAACTCTATGAATCAATGACATTCAAATACAGAAGTTCCTTATCATAGAACCAGAATTACGATTTTAACACACAGCCTTTTCTTTTAAAAGGTCTTTGATTGAGGGATTGAGGGACTAGAGTATAAAGCCCTTTTCTCCTCTCTTCAATACTGTGTACTTATGGGAGAAGGATGTATTTACTTACACTCCTCTGTCTGCTCAGCTCAACCTTTACATGCAAAGTTTGTCCATATAATAGGATTTAGAAAGTGTTTAAGACTGTTTACTCAGATTTAAAGAGAGAACGATATTTGTATTCTACCTGTGAAGTAGTTTGTATTCCCCTAGAGTCCAGGCACTTAGAATAATACATTCGTTGTCTCTACAATATGAAATTTAGAAGTAGGTCTTGAAAGTCTTCAGGAAAGAAAATGTATCTCTTGGTTCAATAGATGAGGCTGCAGTGTCTCTATGAAAGACAAAACTGTCTTCTGTCCTAGTTCAGCACCTGTGATACTCAGTTGCAGAGAATTTGCTAATAAAATTAGCCTTTCCTGACGTGGAATGCCACCATTACTTTGCACTTTGTCTGTAAACGCCTTAATTTAAAATAAGATGTGTTGTCTCATGTGAATCTGATTTTCTTACACACAGTGCAAGTTGACTTTTTTTCTCCTTCAAATCAAGTCAGCTTTCTAATCTGCCAGAGCCCCATGAAACTCAAGTGATCACAGTTCAAAGCTTTTAATTTCTGCTCCTTTTGTGGCTAAGCATTTTATTCTTAGACCATTGATCAGTGGGCTAATGTGAGTGATTTTTCCATTCAGAATTATTCCTTTTCTTTATCCCTTTAGAGATATGACAAAGCAGAATAAGGAGGGAGGAAGGGGGTATTTCCTTCATTGCAATTGAATTTTGACCTCTGAGTTTCAAAGGAAAGCATATTCTGGTGACAGAAGCCTTATATTATACCAATTCAGTGATCACAAAGTGGAAAAATTATTTCTTAGACTATCTTATGTGGTACTATAGAATAGAAAAGAAAATTGAATGGCTTGGGGCCTGTTATTTAAGAACTCCATGTCTCAGTTTTTTCTTTCGTAAAATTGGGACAATGATACCGACTTTGTAGGACTCTTGAAAATGTTAAATGAGATGATATATTTAAAGGATTTCCCAGAAGCTCTTTCCACAAAATACTCATCCTATTTGGTCCTCCTCCGGGTTTAAAGACTGTAGCCGTATTTCTTATGGATTTGAAAGAATTAAAAAGCTTATATTTATAAAAATGCCAGAGCATTATAAAATGCCTATGAAGAAGTATTTTGGTCTAAAGGGTGTATTCAAAAGCTTTATGTTAACTACCTATCTTCTTGTTGATATTATAATGCATGATTAAAACCAGTCAATGTAAATCCTTTTGTATCTTGAGGGATGCACCCTTGCCAACTTTTTCTAATGCAATTAGAGAAACTAGAGATATTCTTCTTCTGTAACTTTTCCCTAAAGATGGGCTTGCAACAAAAACCTCAGTAACATTAATTGTTCTCATCAGTCTTATGAGAGCCATGAAGTCCAATAGTTTGAAGGAAGTCAAACACATTTTAGGCTGCCAGCTCAAGTTTGATAGTAACATAGTCTGGGTAGTATTGTGATGAAACTGGAAAGGTTTACTTTTCCAAAACACTGTATTGGTAATCAATTCAATGTGTATTAAGAATGGCGTATTTGGCGAAGGAAACAAGAGACCTAATATTCTTTTCAAGAATCATGTATGTCCTTGCTTAATATTCATAAAGACTTATCAGTAAGAAAAAGTTCTATTCCATCAGAAACTAAAAAAGTAACCAGTAAAATGATACTGGGAAAACATTTGTGACTCTGTATGGTTCCTAAATGTGACTTATAATAACACTGCTTCAGGATGTCATATTCAAAGAGGTGTTATAATATTTTGTTTGTCTCTGAGATGGTCTAGTTAGGAATGCCTGATGTGGCTTCTTTTCAAGATTTTGATGGCAATAGAATTAAATGAAAAAATAAGAAAACTAACAAAAATGTTTCATGCATAATGACGATGCCACTAATGATCTACTGTACTACACGCAGCTCCTTATTTTACTCATTCCTTTAGGACTCATTTGCATCTCTGGAAACTTTTCTGTTTAGTGTTAACTATCAGATTCTTCAAGTATTTATATTTGAAAGGTTTTATATATTTTTAAAGATATTTCCAATTTAATAATTTAGTTGTCATTTTCTTTAAAACACATACATTATTGTACAAGGGTAAGTCCTGGTATGTGATTGACCACCGTTTGATGCCTAGTGCTGCTTCTGGTCTTCTGAGCCTCATCTGGAGTAGCCCCTGAGCATATATCCGTGAATTAAATGGATATGGCTGGGTGTGACTCCCAAAACAAAATTAAATAAAAGTTTCTAGTCTACATGTCTGTTGGATGGTAGAAAGCTGAAGGGCCTCTCTGGTGTGAAAATTTATAAGGAAATCAAAAGAATTTATTGAGAAGAACTGAATGGGTGTTTTAAGATTATAGATTGAATACAGGTTACACCATTCACATCTGTACCTCAGATTTAGAAGAGAATCATTTTAACCCTCACCAGAGCAACAAAGGGTGGCTTAGGCATGTTAAACTGGGCTGAGATCTCCCCAGAGAAATCACACAAAGACAAGTTGCGATGCAACAAACAAAGTGTCTTTTTGGCTAGCTAAAGCTAGGCCTCCTGTCCGACTCACTGGCACTGCAGCTTCCTTGGAGTGAGCAGCCCCATGCTACGGGTGTGCAGGGTTTTTAATCTTCCAGCATTGCATAATGGGGGTATGTCTTTGGGAACAGTCTAACGGGCTTTCCAGCCACTTAGTAACTTCTGATTGGCTGAAGGCAGGCAGAGACAGTTGCCAGGGACAGTCCCGGTAATTTCTGTTTGGTTGTCCTGGCTGACCAAATCACTTCAGGGAAACCATAACTTGGGGAAACCGAGACCTAGGAAACCAAAAGTTAGGCCTGGCTCCTTATTGATCCTGTCATGGTACTGCCTTAGCTCCTTTATCTTTCAAGCACAATTGGATGTGATCTGTTGGTCTCTCTGCTCAGACTGTCTCAGCCCCCAAGGTGGCATTCCACTGGCTGTCTTATTTCAGCCCCCAACCTATACACCTTCAAGTGCTTGAATTTCACTCTAAGTCAGTCCTTTTGGAAGCTTGTCTTGTCTCTAATTTATTAAGTCACTTACTGAGTCATAAATCACTATCTAAAATGGGCAAAGCTTGCTACAGGGAGCAGTGTAAGTAAGTCCT